AATATTGATGGAGTTCTTAATCTTGAATGAAAAGAAACTAACACTATTAAACTATGATGATATGACTAACAGAATTATGACATGACAGCCATCTGGATTAATAAAAGACATATGTGCTGACATGGATAAGGTAAAAAAACATATTAAGAATTAAGAAATTAAATTATTCAAACCAAACACACTAACACAGCGTACATCTCCTTCTATTTCATCAATCTGGTAGGGCACAATCGAAGGAAGAAAAACTTGAAAACTCTCACCGTCGCCTCTCTTCGCCAATTGCAAGGCAGCATCAGGCTAGCCCTTGATCAATCTTCAAATGAGTCGTCTAGATTCTGATTCATTCTTGGATTCAACTGAGACATAGAAGGATGAAATTTATATAATTAAATGCATATTTACCTTCCTGCATATGCAAATGTTTCTCACACACACACACACACACACAACACACACCACAATAAACTAAAGGACATTATAGTTGCTTCACATATACAGATCGAGGATCCAGATAAAACATCTGCAAAATAACGTCTTTCCCAGACCGTCAACACTGCCTCATAACTTCCTCTGTCCATACTACTTCGTGATTGTGCTTCATTGAATATTGTTTTGCCGTACGTGTTGTCTTTCTCGACCTTTTATAAAATGCCCTAATTAGTCTAATTAGAAGGAAAAATAGAAATTAAAAATAAGAATGTAACAAAAATTAATGTGTACTCATTTATCAAAGTGTATCTTCCATATTAGTAATATAATTTACATGTCAGCATATATTGAGGACTAATTTGTGTTTCAAAATTTTGATGATTAACATGATAACGGAATAAAACATTAAGGACTGACTTGGCAAAAATTAAATATAAGGGACCAACCTGATAATTCATGCAAACATAAGGGATAAAATGTGTATTATCTCATTTTATAAATTATAACTTAAAAGTCACTTTTCCCTCTTAATTCTGTTTCGTATCTTACAAGAAATTAAGTGGATAGCTGATTAATATTCCTGTCATTTTCAAGTATGAGAGAACGTACCCTATATTTTATTGTTGTATTGTTTTGTGTCATAAACAAAGGTACAAATTCTAAGAAACATTAACAGTGAATAACAGTTAAGTTCCAACACATTAAATTAATAATAATTAAGTTTTTAATAATTTTTTAAAAAATAAATTAAAAATATCAATCTAAATAATTATAAATTCAGATGTTTTAATTATAAATAAGTATTATAGTATTAAATAACTCTTCGATTATAATAAGAATTTTATTTGTAACTATTTAAATTAATATTTATAATTCATTTTTCAAAAATATTTATTAAGGACCTATCTGTCATTCTCTCAAATATTAATTATTTTTTTAAATTGTCCCTCATAAATGAATAATATATCATTCAATTAGAGAAAAAGGTAAATATTAAAGTGAAAACATTTCAATTCCAAATATAATTACTTCTTAAACCATGTGAGTTTGTTGAAATCACTCCCTCCGTTCAAAAATGTAAGACATTTTTTGAGGAGTTAGATGTTTAAAAATATAATGCATTTTTAGTCTTTCGAAATATAATCACTGTCTTTTTTTTTTTAAATTGCCAAATATGAAAAGACAGAATTAGTTTGAAAGTAGATAATCACTTTATTTGAGTTGAACTTTTCTTAAAAATGCCTTACATTTTTGAACGGAAGAAGTATCTTATATTTAAAAACAAGGAGAGCATAGTATACTTCATTCTGATCACAATATAGGGCATCTTTTAAAAGCTTTGTTCGGTCCAAAATATAGGGCACTAGATAACTTTTATAATTATTTTTCTGACCATACCCCTACATCATTTATTATTCTTTTTAAAAAAATGATCTATTAAAATTTTAATTATTATTATCAAAGCACATATATAAAATATTTAATGAGGGTAAAATAAAAAAGGTGTAATTTTTTAAGAAATTAATATTTTAACTAAATTTTTTTTAAATTTGAATTAGATATCAATATCTTATATTTTGGTTTAGAGAGAGTATGTTCATTACATTAGTCCCAAGAAATTACCCATGTTTTTGTATGGAAGGCGGCAATAACAGACTTAGAGAAAGTGAACTTCGATCTAATATCACACCAATATATAGCGTTGCTATATTTTCAATACCATAAGCCACTTGAATTTTAACATAAATAGTTTTTGTGAAAGAAGAAAAAGCAATATATGAGCTCTGAAATAACGTTATATCTTAAGAAAAAATGGGGAAACTAATTACAAAATAGCGTCGTTTTTTACATTTGTTATATTTTTGGTGTGATTACTTTTAATAATGTCGGTTTCTTAGGGAAAATAATATAATTATGTTCATTCATTTCTATGTATTTCCTCCCTTAAAAAATATAAGGTATTTTTAACTGAATATCACCTCCCAATAAAATAGTTACTTATTTTTAAACTAACTCTATCTTTCTATATTCATCCATATTTAATAAAGTATTCTACCCTAAAAAAATAAAGTAATTTATTCAGTATGAGCACTTTGAAAAAATAATAATAATTACACTTTAAAAAACTCAAAATATCTCATATTTTTTAAACACTCAACCTTTCAAAAAATAATTTATATTTTTGAACGGAGAGAGTATATACTTAACATTTGTATATATAGTTTATACTTGGATACAACTTTTCCCATTTGAAAAGGAAATCAAAGAGTCACTATTAAAAATTATTATACATAAAATTTTATTTGATTAGACTGGTATAATTTTATTAAATAATATAATATACAAATCACATGGTGTAAATGAATTTATCATGAATAGGACAAGTAAAAAAAAATCTCTTCTCTTAATCTAATGAATAAAACTAGAAGAAAGCAATATCTAAATGTAAATGAACTTTATATGTATGGAGTTTTGACAAATTAATTTTTAACAAATGCACTTTTGACAACTGATTTTTTATCTAACTCTGAAAACTAAACACACACCTGTAGTGTTTTTCATGTGGAGGGCCTGAAAGAACAGTGGCAAATAGTTATTAATTGCCACCTGCTCACATGCCATTGAATTTGCAAATCTTATAAAAGGTGTGTTTGGATTTCAATTAAAAAAATTAATTATAGAAAAAATTGATTATTAGAACATGATGATGTTTGGATAAATTTTTAGAAATTAATTTTGATAAATTGAATATGTTTGAATGATTTCTTGAGAATTAATTTTAAATGTGTAAATAAATGATATAAAGAAAAGGAGTCAAATAGAGTTTTGCAAATGGAAGAAATTTCAGCTTCTCTAAAATAAAATTTTCCAAATCAAATGAAATTTTGTAAAATGAGGGTGTTTGAATAAACTTTTACAAAACCATAATTTTAATTCCAAAATTGATTCTCAATGGGTATCCAAACAGGCACAAAATTGAGTTAATTTTATGTTATATCCCATCATGTCCGATAATCAGAATGATTAATTAGAATGTCAACTCAACTACGTGCGCACTTCGTATTTGCATTCATTAATAATTCAATATTTCTTCAATTTGTATTAATTTATAATATATTATCACTATTATCTTGTTTTTCATTATCATATAAAAATTAATGCAGTACTGACGCTGCCTGAATTAACATATCAACTTGTCATGATCAAGTAGAATGAATTTAACATATATGATTTTTTTTTTCCTTTTCAATTCAACGATGTGCCTGCGTGTGTGTATGCGTGCATGCCACCTCGTATATTATATTATTATCTTATTCAATTACTAATAACATTGTATATTTATATTATCACGACTCCTTTTACATATAATTTATAGAAAATTTAACGTGGGACTACTGTTAGTAAATCAACGTATAAGAATTGTCACTTGAGTGGAATATTTCAACATATATAATTTTTGACTTTGGAATCATTATTAACAGTTATAATAATGTTAAATATAATTTACAAAAAAGAAATAAACTTATTAGGTAGCTGGCTAGCTAATTAAGTCTGGAATTGTCGCCTCTAATGATGATCAGTAGTGTTAACTTTCATCGAAGAAGTTAAATTTAAACTGGATCAGTCTATAAACCGAAAACAAATCAAGATAAAAATTGTTCACAAGACCAGCAAAAGTTTAATATAGGAGATGACAAAACGTAATATAATTAATTATACCAGAAGAACCAATCGCGGAATGATTGAGTTTAATTATATATAAACTCTCTTATCCATGTGATGATCCTGTAAGTAGGCCCCACTAGCCCATTGGAAGGCGGCCCAATCAGCCACCAACATTTGCCTTATTCTCAACGCATGCTAAATGCTTTACGCAACTAATTTTCCTATTTCTTTAACAAACGTAAGTAGAATGTGAGCCATTGATTAAGCGTTAGATAAAATTACCTTAACAGATGTGATCTGGATTTTACAGGTGTCTCAAATCTTCTAATCTTTAGTTGTGGGATTTCATAAATGTTGTTCGAATTTATACTTGACCAGAAATAAATAAAGAAACGTAAGTTATAGGGCATTTTTATGTGAATGTAATTGAACCATTTCTTTGCAATCATTTTTGTAACTTGTGATTTTGACATTCTCTTTGTAACTTGTGCCATCATCTTTGACAAGTACCATTTGATTGAATCGAGACTCTCACCGAAATCCCTTCCTTGAACAAGTTGTTAAAAGTTGGATACATTTTCACGGATCTGAAATAAACGTGATTATTGGGAGGAATATATCATTTGTCTGCCATATCTTGTTCAAGTGAAGGATATTCCTTATTACTCAAACGAAAGAGTGGGGAAAATTAAGTAAATTTCCCTTATCGTCGCTTGTATCAACCTCATCTTATACACTCACGAGAGAGCCAGACTGTCCCTGTACTGTACAGCAGCAGACTTTGAAAATATATATATATATATATATATAATAAAGTTCCTCAATCATCTCCACTTGTTGAGTTTTGACTCTTGAATATAATGAATTTGTCATGACATATCACCTGTACTGGAAGTATAAATAGAGGGCACACGCAATACTGATGAAGCATCGATCATCATCAACATTATACAGCGTAGCCAAAGCTGCTATGGAAGGTCATAGGTTAGTAGTGGTGATGTCCTTGCTCGTGCTGCTCACATGTGGAAGCTGTTCAGCTCAGCTGAGAAAGGGCTTCTACAGCAAAACATGCCCTAATCTTGAAAAATCTGTTCGTTCTGCTGTTTCACGCAAGTTCCAGCAGACCTTCGTTACTGCTCCCGCCACTCTCAGACTCTTCTTCCACGACTGCTTCGTCCGGGTCTGTTATATATATATATATGTTTCCATCTCTTAACCTAGCTATATATATATATATAGCTGTTGCGATCGATCAGCTTATTGGATGACTATATATATAAATATATATACAGGGATGCGACGCATCGGTGATACTGGGGCATAAGAACGCAGAGAAGGATCATCCAGATGATGTGTCACTTGCCGGAGATGGCTTCGACACGGTGGTGAAAGCCAAAGCCGCCGTTGACAGTGATCCACAGTGCCGCAACAAGGTCTCTTGTGCTGACATTCTCGCGCTCGCTACTAGGGATGTCGTCAACTTGGTACTCTCTCTCTCTCTAGATCTCGAATATGTGTTTTACTTTAATCCGATCCCCATAGCTATGAACTTTAGGACTTTAGGTTCATTTTTTAATTTAATTACTATAGCCACTTCCGTGATCAGTTGGTTTGTCTGACTGCCTCCTCCTTCTTTTTCACATCTGGATGCATTATCCTCATAGTTAATTATTATTATCATCATCATCATCATCATAAAGTGAACCAATATTTATCCTTTCATCATGTGCCAACGCATGTCAACTTACCCGGCAATTAAATGACCATTTCGTATACCAAATCTGTAAAGGAATAATAAGTTTGAATATTTGTGCTCTTGCTCTCACGAGTTGCTGTCACATGAACAAAAAGTTTGAAATTTCAAAAATAAATTGAGAGAGATGCTCACTCCAAATCTACAGTATAGGGTATTTGGATAATTTTTATAATTGTTATTTTAATTATATCCCCACTTTATTTATTACTCTTTTTATGAAAAATGATGTATTGAAATTTCAATTGTGATCATTATTAAGGTACTTATAAAGAGTATTTAATGAAGATGTATAATTGAAATGATGTACAATTTTATTACTAAGGTTCTATCTACCTACTTTTTTTTTTTTTCAAGAACTATGAAGTACTTAGTTACCAATGCATTATCCTTATATTGTGGTCTAAAGGGAGTAATAAATAGGGTCTTTTAAAGGGAGAATGATAATCAAGTCATAAAATAATGAATTAATGATATTTAGGTTCATGATAAAATATTTTGAAAAATGAATTAAAAACATCAATTCAAATAATTAATTAGAATTTTAGGAATTTCAATTGCAAATAAAGCATTTAATTTCAAATGCAACTATTAAATTATAATTGGAATTCCCCTTTGTAAGAACAGTATTTATAAATTGTTTTTTAAAATTATTTGGGACTTACTTATCATTAATTCAATTTTTAAGACCTAACTGTCATTCTCCTCTTTTCAAAGGATGTGAGAGAAAAGCATGAGAGCAGAATATCCACATACATGTATATATATATGTATATATATTTCATCTTAAACACACATAAAAGCGGACGATACGTGGTTTCATACATAAAAACTTGGATCTTAGGCATTGATATTGTTATGAAATCAATTAGTTCTGTACATTAATAATTAATTGTTAATCAATCAGGGAATATATATAATAAATTAATAATGCAGGCAGGTGGACCTTTCTATGAAGTAGAACTGGGAAGGCGCGATGGCAGAATATCCACCATAGCCAGTGTTCAACGTCGTCTTCCTCAGCCATTCCACAATTTGAATCAGCTTAACTCTCTCTTCTCCATGCATGGCCTCTCTCAGACCGATCTCATCGCCTTATCAGGAGCACACACGATAGGGTTTTCTCACTGCAATCGCTTCTCCAACAGGATCTACAACTTCAGCCCCAGAAGCAGAATCGACCCGTCCTTGAATCTTCAGTACGCTTTTCAACTCAGAAACATGTGTCCCTTGAAGGTTGATCCTAGGATCGCCATCAACATGGACCCTGTTACTCCCCAGAAGTTTGATAACCAGTACTTCAAGAATCTCCAGAATGGCATGGGTCTGTTCACTTCTGATCAAGTTCTCTTCACTGATAATAGGTCTAAGGCCACTGTTAATTTGTTTGCTTCTAGTGAAGCTGCTTTCAATTCTGCTTTTGTTTCTGCTATTACCAAGTTGGGAAGGGTTCATGTTAAAACTGGGAATGATGGTGAAATTAGGGTTGATTGCACTAGAATCAACTAGAAGTTGAAGATAACATCGATCATGATCGTGTTCGATCGCTCTCATCGATATTATTTTCTATTTTTTATTGGGTTTTTTCTGTGGTGTATTTTGTAATAATCACCATTCTTCATCTGTTCAAGTGTGAAGACCTTGGTTATTAAGAAATAAGATATCATATATTTTGGTTCTTTAATTTGACAGCGTTCTTTTTCCCCCTAACTTCGAGTGATGATTTAATAATTAAATTGCACTCAATAGTATGGGCAGCAATGAGTTTCATTTTACTTGTCCATTAAAATTTGTATGACAGAAGTGAAGATGAAATATTAAACCAACAAGCCTTTATTCTTAGTCTATGTTCTGGGATTAGTCTTTTGAATTTCTTGTAACTCAAATTACTTTGTAAATAATGTATATATAATTAAAACAAATTATATTGTGTATATATATATATATATCCCATAATTAAAAATCCATTCTTTGCACATGATCTAGGATTGAATTTTAAAGACAATATGAATGCATGGACCAAGAAAGTTAATATGTATATAAAAAATATAACTTTAAATCCTTGCCTTTAGTCCAAATTTTACTATAAATCTCTATTTTTGGTATTTTAGGTCTTTATAGTTTTATTTTTTAATATTATAAGTCCCTCCATAAGTGGTATTATTGGAACTTAAAATACCAAAAACTAAAGTTATAGAAACCTACTATAACACACAAAAAATATAAAGATCTATAGTAAAACTCAAACAAAGTATAGGGTCTAAAATTATTATTTTTTCTATATTTTAAGATATGTTGCAGCCAGTATTTGGAGTATTCGAAGATATTTAAAAAAAAAAAAAGCTTATGTCAGATTGAGAGGTAATTTACGATCATATTTTTAGCTAGACGAGCAAATACTTACATAGACTAATACTCGCAGGTAATATTTCAGACTACCGGCCAACATATACAATTATAAACCATGTTCAGAGTGCACAGCCATTATGGGCCTGATCTTAATTATGGACTCATGAATGCGTCTTGATTTTCCTTGTTTTTTTTCCCCCTTATCGATCAATATCAATTATCAGGATTTTGCCCCCATCTATAATTTAAAAGTAATTTATGTGTGTGTGTACGTACGTACGTACGTGTACGTATATGTAACATGTATGCACTGCAAAATTGACTTTGCTTGGTAAACTTGGAGGAATAAAGCAAGCAAGAGAATCACATCAAGGGTTGGGTGCAGAGAGGAAATATGACATGGTGACATGGCTGTTGTCACCAACAATTTTAACTATTTGCTTTCTTCTCTCAGCTTTTGTCCCCTCCTTACCTCCATTTCTTCTCCAACTATTTCCCTCGTACCTTTCTAGCATCATCTTTTTTACCTCTAAATTAAAAATATATATATATATATATATATATGTTTTTCCCTTTTAAATTACATCATCATGTTCATAGTATGTATTCTTTCCTTATTAACACTGTCCTGAATGAGCTTTGAAGCCATGAATTTTGCTCAACTATGATTTATAATTATCTGAGTCTTGGTTGAAGAAATTAGAGCCTTTCTTTATAAAGAAAACAACATTAGTTTTAATCATATTGATGGTAAACAAAGTAGAAATGCTACTTTTTAGCTAAGTTCTCAACAAATGGACTATCATACTATAAAAAAAAATTATTTTCCAATATAATATACTTTCAAAAGTATTTAGTAAAATACTACATATTAAAATTCAGTTTGATAGATATGTGTTAGTTATGAATACAACTTGGCTTCTGTCACACGAAGTTCCGCATAATGAAAAAACATGTCAGAGATAATCTGGTATAGTCTTTCTCTCCCAACTCACACCACGTATCCTTTTTTTTTTTTTGGGTTCCCCGTTAACACAATGACTTCCCCAATCCCATGTACAAAAGTTATGAAAAATTCTCCTTTTTCTCATATTTTTTAATCCAAAATATATTTATTTTTTTAACTAATGTTGATTTAAAATATGTGCAACTTAGTTCATGTAATTTTTTTTATTTTACCCATTATATTTATTAACCTAAATTTTTGTGTAAAGTTATCTCTCACTTATTATTAAGTATATTGGTAATTAGAACCAAAGATAAAAAATATATATATTTTTATGAAAATAAAAACTTTATTGGTATGCAAATTTTTTCTAAAAATTACTTATATTTTGGATTGGAGGAAGTAAATGATAAGTACTACTATAATGTAGATGTAATATAGTATCATTTAGATAAAAAATATGTATTTTTATAATATACTCCCTCCGTTAAAAAATATAAGGTATTTGTTCAGGAGTTGGATTTCAAAAATATAAGACATTTTTAATCTTTTGAGATGTAATCATTACTTTTTTTTAAAAGTATCCCTATTGATAATGACTTTATAGTTATTGTAGGGTGTTTAATAAATGTAGATATGAAAAGATAGGATTAGTTTGAAAGTAGGTAACTACTTTATTGAGAGTGAGATTCGGTTAAAAATGCCTTACATTTTTTAACAGAGGGAGTAAACTTTAAATAAATTCTACCCAAATAATTATAAATATTTTGATAAAAATATAAAATGTCTTAAAAAATGCACGTAACTTGTAAAATTTCTTTCCCTTATATTTATGATTTTTAAGAATTAGTTTCTAAATGTTTTATTATCATTAGGCTTGGTTTGGATGGAGGAGGAGAAAAAAAAACTAAGAGGAGAAAATTTTAAAAATAATCAATTTTTTTTTCTATTTTTAAAAGTTTTCCCTACTAATTTTCCTTCCTCCCTATTTTTCGTAAATGATAAGAATAATTCATCTAACTTTGTGTGATTATTGAAAAAATTATTCAAATAAATATTATATAAATTAAAAAATAACATAAATATGCAGTCACATTTATTTACATCTTATCAGTGGCAATTTCAAATTTTAAAAATATACGTATTTTTTATCAATATAAATAATTATTTAAGAAGTATTTTTTAAAAATTTGGCTAAAGTATATATTTAGTCTTTTAATTTTATACAATATTTTATTTTAGTCTATTAACTTTATAAAGTATTTTTTTAGTCTTTTAATCTTACCATTATTAGTTTTATCCTAACATATTTTTACATTGAATTAAAAATTAAGTTTAATTTTTTAAAACAATAATGATTGATATGAAACATAATCGTTTAAAACGAACGATATAAGAATTAAAAAACTAAAAATATAGTTTATAAAATTAAAGAACCAAATTAATATGTTATATAAAATATATTTTTTTATCTAAATAATGCTATATTAAATCAACATGATACTAGCGCTTATGACGGAAGGGATGTAACTTTTGCACACGGGTGGGAGAAGTCGTTGCGTTCACCAAAAGAAGAAGAGAAAATTATTGTTGAAGACCTGAAAAAGGTAATATTTATTATAAAGAATTTTAAAAATAGTAATTATTGAGAAGCACCAAATACCAAAATATAAGTTTCAAAATATAAAATTGCTTCTAATTAAATTTTCTATATTTTCACAAATCATATTTCAAATTGAATTTGACAATTACGTTATTGATAATGGTAAATGAACATAATACTAAAAATTAAAAACAAGTGACAAATATTTTGTCCCTTTGCAATAACTTTCCCCAAAAAAGAAAGGGATTGGCGGTGTGAGTAGGGAAGAAAGAGGGTGTGGCACGTTCCCCGACATGTGTTTTTTTTATATTATATGACACTTTGTGTGATGGAGGCCAAGCTCTATTCATAGTTAATACAAAAACTTTAAAACTCAGCATTTGTCAAACTGAATTTTAGTCAGTAGTAATTTAATAAATAATTTTGAAAATGTAGTATTTTGAGAAATAATTTTTTTTTCTTTAGCATGATAGTCAATTTGCCCTAGGCTCTCACATAATATAGATAAAAGCTTTTGTTTCTTTGATCATCATTCATCTCTTAAATAATTTAGGGATGGAAAATAATGGAAGAGTTTAGCTCTAAATTTATTTTTATTTTTGATACCCTGTACCTGCTGGTAGTTATTAATGGAGTTAAGTATCTATTTAAAAAAAAAAAATGCTCTTGAATGATCATTCACAACGTTCTTTTCTTTCTTTCTTTTCTTTTGTTTTTGTTTTTTGCTTTTTTTTTTTTTTTTGGATAACATCATTCACTACATTCTTTAACTCCTTAAACTCAAAGCGCTAATTAAACGTAAATATATACACCAGCCACTGCAAAACCAAGTAAATACTTTGTGTGGAGGATGATCTTCACAGAGATTGCCACGATACCTACAGAGTGGTCTTCTTGTTACTAAACTGGGCAATGAACAACTAAAGACCAAACAAAAAATTATGCATTTTGTGACTGCGTGGCTTTTAAATAAAAGTGGATATTACCATCACAAATCTCAATCTCTTCACTTGCACAGTAAAATTCCTGGATATCAGGATAAGTTCTTGCAGCTCTTCTTTAGTTCATAGCAATGAGAGCCATTTTTTGAGAAATCTTCATTTAAGATGCGTCAAATCTTGATGTTCTCTGCCAAGTTAACTTGTCTTCTGAGAACAAAAAGACTGGACTTTGGCTTTTCATTATATATCTTACTGGATTGAAGAAGAAAATGAAAAATGCTTTGATCACAACTAATAATTATATACTGAAATGGATCTGAGGATGGGTGGTCTGATATACAAAGTCCATTTATTCATATAAAATAAGAAGTGATCTAGGGAACAGAATTCACGAACCATATAAAATCAGCAGTCCATGAAGTGTAGAAAGGACAGAAAAAAGAGACCATTAAAGTTAAATTTAAACTCCTATGTAAGCTTTAAACCTTGATGAAGAAGCCAATGTGAGACCTTTCTTTCCTGTTCAAATGTGACACTAGAGCTGCTCATTGGGGTGGTGGGGTCACTGCATTCTCCTACTCTATCTGATTTAAAAGAGCTACATAAATTCATCTTCCTGGTTAACTCAAGCACATGAGGTTTTGCATTCTTCTTATTCTTCATCTTAACCTCTTTGCTTCTTCCTCCTATACTTAGTGTCAAGTCCAATTCTATTTCTTCATCAGAACCACTCTGAATTGCAGTGTAGGAGCTAGGCCCTGCTGCTTCTCCTTCGTCCAACCCACATTCTCCTGTTAATGTGCCTTCTTCGGCTGCAGGCATTTCCAGATCAAAGCCTCGTGGACTTTTGGTGACTATGGCAGAGCAGCTTCCAGTACTCTTGTCCCTTGAGCATAAATCATCTCTCAAATTCTGAGCTTGCAAATCTGTAGCCAAATTTGGATTTTTTGTTAGTTGAGGTTGCCTCATATCTTCTTCCTTTATGGGGTTCCATAGTTTCTTCTGTTTGATTTCCTTCTTTAGATCATCCATCAGCAACTTTTGCACTCTGTATACTCTATGTAGTTCCTCAACCTGCATTTTTATTGACATGATAATCAGAAGGTATGATGGACCTGTGCTTTCTGACCTTGAAATATTAATTAACAACTAAACATATTATCAGAGAGTGTCATGTCCAGATGGTTGAGAGTTCAAATTGAGACTACCATCTCAGACAAATCCAATCACAATTTCTAGCTGTTGAAAGCATCAAATGTTTGACAGAAGCATATAAACAATGCAGCTTCAAGTATGGCAAAGTAAAGAATGAAAGAAAGAAGCGAATCATATACACCATGAGAGGTAACAGAAAAGAAAGCCTCAAAATTTACAATAAAAAAGAAAAACCAGATAAGACATTTGGTTGACCATATAACTGTATGATTTTAAGGATACCTGTTGTTTGAAGATTTCCTCATGCACCTGCATTGTCTTTCTGATGAATTCTACGTTGTTTCTGTCAACCATTTTTTCCATGGAAAATTGCAAGTTTCTGGTTCCAACTTGGTCACCCTTATTGCTGGTCAGCCTTTTGTTCTGAGAATTTTCCCACACATCCACACTCTTCACAGTCAAATTGTTGCTGTCTACTGAGGTTGCTGCTAGAAGATTTATGGAATATTCAACTTTGGTCCCCATGCCTGAACAATAAAATGCAGACTTGTTAAGTTCTTTCCCAACATCATCACACTTTAAACCGTGCACTTTTTTTTGCCTCGGCCATTGAAAAAAAAAATCACTTTTATGGTACAAACGCTTGAAAAAGTGAAGCAGATAAGAAAACCAAACCAAACATTTTTCTCCTTTCTCTGTTTTTCATGTTACTCAAAGGGGTTATGATCTCGAAAGGTACAATGTGAAACGTGAGAACCAAGTTTAGTTGACCAAAATCTTAAAGCCTAATAAAAACTCAAAACTCAAATCCCAGGAATATTATGACCCAAACTAGCAGAGATTCATACCAAAAGGGGGAATCGTATGTTTCTTCCACAAGTAGAAACTAAAAACCAGAAATAAAATTTGTAGAAAGTTGAAAACTTAATCCCTTAAAAACAGCCATAATTAGGCTTGTGTGTTTAGATTATCCTTGTTTCAGCTAAAAAAGAAATGATACGGGTTTGTCCTGTGAATGATTATACAAAAGTGAAGGAGGAGGGAACAAAGAGAATTTGCATTGAAACGTTAAAAAGAGTAATCAAACATTTGCAGGGACAGACATAGAAGAAACAAGGAATCTGGACGTTAGGCATAACCAAAATAGTAGCGTCCAGCTCCTACTCCTAGAAACTACCCTCAGATACTTACAAAAAAATAATAGTAAATAAAAAAATGTTCCACTTCTTCTAGTTCCTTATAAAGTTTAAACCTTTAAGACTTTATAGCTCAAACAAAGCTCGAATAAATATCACAAAGCAAGAAAGAATTGCAGCATGAAGCTTTCATGGCTGCAAGAAGCTATACCTGAAATAAGAAGCACCAAAATTGCAGGTTTCTGAGATGAAGCTCATGGAACATCTTCCTCTTTCAAGGTAGTTCTTTTACCCATAAGTCAGAGTGTTGTTAACAGAACCAAACTTATATATACATAGAGAGGGAGAGAGGGAGAGAGAGAGAGAGAGAGAAGGGAAAACAGGGCTCTGAGAGGGTTGTGCAAGAATCAGAAGTGAGACAAGGACGGATTATTCCAAGAAGTGCATGAAGGGCACCTGATGATGATGATGATGGAGTTTGAGAAAGAAAGCTCAGAGACAGCAGAAAATCTCTTGGCAGGTCAATACCATTCCATTGTTTACTTGTAAACAAGAAAGCTATCACCTCTAATTAAAAAGAAGGAATCAGAGAATCATGGGTTTAATAATTCTGGCTCGACAGGCTGTGAGAGGATAGGAGGAGGCAGGCAAGAAAATGGGGAAAAAAACTACACAAAAAAAAAAAAAAAGGGCTGGAGGAGCAATGTGTTACATGTGAAGTAGGGCGGTATTAGAGTCTTTCAATCCAACCCCATCCCATCCAACCCAAAACAAATTCCATTCTGTCATATCTGAATAAAAATTGGTCTTTTGGACTAAAAAAATCAGATTCTTTTTTTAGATTAAATTGAACAAGAGATCTAAGGTTTAGATCACTTAGTCAGGTCTAATTTTGTAAATTTATTTAATATAATTATAATTAGTTTATTAATTATTATTATAATAAGTTGATTTATAATGATAATTAATATTTTTTGTATTTTATACTTGTGAAGTCATGAATATTTAGTAAAATTTTAACATTGACCACTCTTAGTCTTCTTCTTTTATTGGTAAAATTTATTTTTCACTTGGTGTAATATATTTTAGACATGTTAAAGGTTGTTTAATTTAAATTATTTGTGTTGTAATTAAATATTTTTTGTTGTTGTTGTTGGAAATTATTGTAGATTTATAGTTGTGTTGTAATAAATTTTATATGACTATAATAATTTTATTATATTAATTAAGTTTATTATGTTGAAATAAATTGATACTTCTCATGGATGAAAAAAGATAAAAAAACAAAGTGAGATACTGAATAAGATTGAGACCAATCTTCTAATCCTACTAGACTAGTCCGATTTTGTTAGGCGTCGGGTTATACTAAAATCAAATTAGACTCCGAATTGCTTAACATTATTTTCATGAAAAGAATCAGACTTTAAGTTAGTCAAGTTCTTATTGAGTCAATCGAGTTCTAATGTCAATGAACAAGTGTTGTGTGATATTTAGAGAGAGAGAGGAGGGTGACAGATAGAGAGAGAAAAGGAGAGATCTTATTTAGTATTTGTTTATATATATATATATATATATAGATATAGGATAGGTGGCATGGTGTTTTGTTTTGTATACACTCGTGCTTCACTGTGATGTTTGGGAAAGTCTTGGGACCACACAGTTTTGTGTGTGTGTTGGCTTTTTTGGTTAACGCTGCTCAAAAAGTTGTAGGGAGAAATATTTAAACCATAGAAGTTTTCTGTGTCTTGAAAATATGCATTGATCATTCAAAAAATTAATAAAAATAGCTTATTATATATTCTATACTACTTTTCTTGTGATAAAAATATATAGGTTTTAGGTATTTTATTAAGTATTTTCATTATCAGAGGAGAGCAAATCTTCAGATGCAAAAATTGAAATCATATACTCAAAGAAAATACATGCTTACTTTTTTTTTTTTGGTCCAAAAAAAGTACATGCTTACTAACATGTTGGATCCAGTAAAAATAGTTAATTATTCTTTCATAACACAACAAATTAAAATTTGAATTATCATTTATCTAATCATGTCTGAAAACATGATTATTTAAATATGAGAATATCTGTGCATGATTTTAAAAATTTATCAATGTAAAATAAATTGAAATTGAAAATAATTAATTTAACTTAAATATTAGGTGTTTAACTTGAATAATTGTATGATATTATTCTGTATTATACAAATTATACATCCAGATAAGAGGATATCCCAAAGGGTTGGCAAGTGAACAATATATTCCAGACATAGTCATTGTCCTACCGATAGACATCCTCAAAATTCAACAAACGAACAAATTAGGTTGTCCAATCTCTCTCTCTCTCTCCCCCCCCCCCCCCCCCCCCGCATTTTTCTTTCCAGATTTTTCTTGCTTCCCTTCTCTTTTTTTTTTCTTTTTAATGAAATCTGGGATTTCATCATTCTTCTCCGTACATGTGCTCCTCTCAAATTTTATGAATTAATGTCTCATCAAATTCGTAATTCTCTCATCACAAAAACTAAATCCAGATCTCATTGGGATTCCCCATCATCACCTTTTCTTGAAGCTTGTGACTTGTGATCACGTTGACTCCTTCCTAATCTTCCATCCTTCCAAGATTTAGTACGTTTTCTTCCAAGATTATTATTATTGTTAGTATTATTATTAAATTTTTTCTAAAGTATTTATTAGAATTTTTTACCCTCATTAACGAGAGTATTTATAAGAAGCAACTAAGTACTCTAATTAATAAATAAGGTTATTTTTGAAAAATAATAACATTTCCAACTTACTCCCTCTAATCTTATTTATAAGCTACTTCTAACATGTTTTACTAGAATTAAGAAAAATCTTAAATCTTATTGATTTTATCTTAAAATTTAATAAGTTTTCACCTTTATCATTAATTTAAATTTTATTACTAACATTTTTATTTAAAGTATTCAATAAGGGCAAAAATGTAAGGAAAGTATTAGAAATTAATAAGTACCTTATAAAAAAAGACCGAATTTTGCTTCTTCTTTTTCTATCCTGTAAATAGAACTAGAGGACTATTTATTGTTCTAACTGTTTGAATTGCATTATTTAATTCTGATGAATTAATTATTATCTTGTTTTTCCAAAACTTGAATAATATAATTTATTTAATATTTTACATAATTTTTATTTCATTTTACTATTTTTCATCTTAAAAAATAAAATGTAGGATAAATAGTAAAAAAATAATAGAAATTAACAACAACAACAAAACTTAAAAGACAATGAAGTCCAAGGGATCTATTACGCACATACTCTTCAAATAAAATTACTCCGGTTTTTTATTATTTCCCCCTGCCATAAATTTTATTAAAGAGGATGTGCAGTGAGTTTCAACCTATTCTCTAACTACAGTCTAATTAACATAATCATACTTTTTTGTTGTTGTGTATGAGAAATTAATTTTGTTCTGTGTGTGTATTTTTCTTGGAAATGAAATGGGGCTTTGGGGACTGTTTGGATACACCAAAATAATTAATTAGAGTCCAAAACCATAGTTTTGAAAAAGAATATTTAAACATTCCTATTTTTTTCAAATTTCATTTGGCTTTCATTTGAAAGAAATGACAATGAACTCCATTTGATAATCATAACTTTTAGGAGTTGTGAAAATTCATATTTTACAATTTTACCCTTCATTTTACTTATCAATATTTACGTTATAAAAGATATTGTCCTTTATTGTAATTTGAACATTTAAAATTAATTCTAAAAAATCATTCAAACATCTTTAATTTTATTAAAATCAATTTCAGAAAATACACATTCTGTTAATCAATTATTTTTATAATTAATTTTTCCCAATCGAAATAATCCAAACACATCCTTAATAATTAACTTGCATAATTAAGTAGTACATGGATAGGAAACAAAGGATATGTATAACCATGTATATCTATGAACAGCTGGGCAAAAATATGCACAACAACAAGAAAGATCTGTCAACAGATTAGATTAGATGCATTCAATATAAAATTATACTAATTAAACATTAAGATAAACAACGATTCACAATTGGATTTGATGATAATAAAATAAAAATGGGGTCAAATCATTTGCTATATCTTATATATTATCGCTTTGCTTTCATTCAATGATTTTTCCCTCAAAACCATAAAAAGCGACTCATATCGGAACTTTGTTGTTTAAGAAACCTTCATGAATGAGAACCCCCCCCCCCAAAAAAAATGTATCGATAACTTAAATTTCTAAGTCAAATATTTAACGTGTTTTTAGTATTGGTTTTTATACTTTTTCTTCATTGCATCAAGTCTCTTAAAATGTCCTTTGTCTACAATTTTAGTAATTATCATCCTTGATGAATAAGGTAAAATTATTATGAGCTGGATATTGTATGAGCGAATTGGTCACTAATCTAACTGTCTATCTACTTTAGGTGTCGCGTCTTTTTCTTTCTGAAACTTTATCTATTGTGCATTTAAAGATTCTAATCTAATGTGCCTAATTGTTTTTTTATTTCCTCTGCTCATTTTTATACAATTCATCATAATTTTAACAAATTAGTACGAGAAGTAAGAAGTAACAAAGTTTATAAATACAGTCAGCTATCATTAAATTATTATAGGTATATTTAAAAATATAAAGACTAATGTTGCATGAAAATAAAACTTAAAGGATTTGGATTAAAAAAACATATAAAAAATAATGCTTAACATCGCACCTTTGCCATGGAACTCACATAGCATAAATAGCTCAGACTTGAAATAACACTCAACGAAAGCTTTCTCTCTGTTTTGCCTTTTTTGGCCAAAAACTCAACGAAAGCTTTCAAGAATCAAGACTCCGACTTGTTGACCCGCAAATATCTGAATTCCACAAATAATAATTTGTCTTTCAGAAGACAGATCATTCTTAAATAGTGCCCCAATTTTTTTTTAAAAATCTTTTTCCCAATAGAAAAAAGAGAGAAAGTAATGCACGGATTCTGGTACACACTAAACGTTTCCTTAATTTTCATCGTACATGTGAGTATGCTTAATCCTTAATCCAGATTCTGTTTGTGTGTGTGTGTGTGTACAAACACAAGGATATATATATATATTTAAAAAAAAGACACGATAAAATAAACTTAGTTATTTAATTTTACTCGTCGTGTCATTCAGAATTGTCGCATGTTTTGTTTCCTTATTCAACAATTGTTGCAGTGAAATAGTACGAAATGATAGATAATTAATTAAATAAATGAAATAAGATGAAAGGATCGGATTACGAGTTTTTCACTTGAGGGAATATTAGTCAAAATCCAAAGACCTACGTGATCATAGACATGAAAAAAAAATAATCTTGAAAAGAAGTGAAACCCTAATTGTTTACTATTATATAAAAATATATGTAGACTTCATTGGAGGTTGGAACATAAATGGGGCTTAATTTATATATTAATATAAAAATAATGGTAATAGTTAAACTGTCAAAGTTGGAGATGGATCTTGACCTGCGCATGGGGATTCGCATGAAGGTTGAGTTAAAATAAAGTAATTAAAAAAAGAGTGATAATTCGTCAGTGGGTTGGCCATGTGAGAATTAATCCACAAGAGTGAAAATTATTTATATTACCAGTTTGTTGAAGTGGATGAAGGATGATATTCTCT